TATATATATATATCCTTTCATTTATGATCTTTGTTTGGTCTTCATTTTCTATCCTTTCATTTATGATCTTTGTTTGGTCTTCATTTTCTAATTTTTTTTTTCAAATTTATTTTCTACCACATATTTCATGAGATTTATAACATTTAAATTTTTTAATTTTACATTTCATCAACTTTTATCAACAAATACTAAAAATTGAATTTTTAGTTAAACCAAACATGGCTTAAAATGTTCATAGTCCAATATCCTTGTTTATCACGAGTTTACTTCTCTACTATTTAGAGTGAAGTGGTGCACGACCTTGACTTTCATCTCAATATAATATCTGAACCATAGACTTAAAAGTTATGGAGAACTGATTAAAGAGACAGATAAATCTCCATATTCAAATAAATAATTATTGTCGTCACTTCAAACCTTGACAAACGAATTGGGTAAGTGTGTACATAAATAGTGAAAAACCATAACCAAGGAGTTGTTTGAATTAATCAAAGGAATTAGGTGACTTGTTCTAAACCAATAGGCTCGTTCTATATAATTCTTCAAAATGCTTATTGTCGACGATGATTATTGTTCAGATGCCAAAAAAATTCGCGTCAACTATCAATCTAACACAATCCTTTCCGACAATTTTATCCGACTTGTAAAACATTGTGGAAAATCATAGAAAGAGTTTGTTGTGTATTAGTATATAGTTATTGTGATTTTGTATGAAGGTCATATTGTAATATAACTTGAGTTTTGTTGCTCTCATAAGTTATTTAGGCTATTCGATCGAAAAATATACTAGTACTCTCTATTAAGTTGGGAAGCTTAAATTTTACCTTACAGAGCTGATACAAGGATTTACCTTCACAGTGAAGTCGCTCAGGGGTTGGAAGGGACCAAGAAGTCTGTCCAGTGGGTGCGGGGCAAGAGCTCCCGATCCAAAATTTCATTAACGATAATTTAGGAATTTCACACGTGAAATTTTGATTTTGCTATAATTTATCTTGTAAATAAGGAGCTGTTGTTAATATTTGTAATATCATATAAAAAGAGAAAGTTTATAGAATATAGCAGATGAAGAC